CGGCCGCTGCTGGAATTGCGGATTTTTTCGCGATAGGGGAAGATAAATCTACCCCTCTCCCTTTTTTAACCCTTTTTCTGACCGAAAGTTTTACTGCTATCCTCCCGATCGTTCCCTTAATTTTTCGAGAATTATTCAAAGTTGGATGGGTTTCGTGTTATAGCGGATTTTTCATGATTTTCTGGTAAAAAAAATCTCTCCACCCCGCCCCCTTTTCACACTTTCTCTATTACTTTGGTGTTCTCGGGTCAAGTTCATTATCCCCCAGGAAGAATATTTTTTAAAGAATAATTTTTAAAAAAAATATATTTCTTTTCATTTCTTCGTGGATAATCTCCAATTTTCGTCCGATTAATTTTGGAATAATTTTTCAATTTCGATCTTCTTGTTGATCTCTGTCTGAGGGGAAGAATTTTCTTATGGAATGTAGGTAGGGTGTAATTTGTAACGCAGGTTGAACGCACGTTTATTTCCCGAAATTCTCTTTTCTCGTTGAGATATATTATATTCGAAATATATTTCAATCATCAGGTGTTTGCATCATCTTGCATGGAACTATCTATTTATCGATAATGAAGCATCTTTCGCGCATATCGAGCGAGTGCATCTTTTCCCTTTTCTCTTTCCAACGAATGTACGTATAATTTCATCCAAAAGTTTTCCACCCTATTGAATTAAAAAGGAAAAGATGAATACCAAGATTCCACTCGAATCCTATCTTGATTTCGACCGAATGCAATTCCGACTCAAGCTGGCCTACATCGAGCAGCGATACGAGAGAATCGCGATCCTTCATACGATATTACAACATTTTAATTAATATTAAAAATAAATCGCCGTTTCGGATTTCCAGTTAAAGCACACACATGTGCACACATATACAGAGGAATCGCGCAAACATTCAAAATTGCATAATTGGAAGTTTAATGCGTTAACAAATTGCAACGGATGCGTTTAATTGTCTCCCTCCATCATCTCTCTATCTCCATCCAGGCATTAACCTGCCTTAATCCTCTTTGAAAAATAAAATTCCACGTATAGGGATTAAAATAACGTTAAAAAAAAAAAAAAAGTGGACGTTTGTATGATTATTTTATTTCGAGGAAACC